TGAATCTTGGGCCTCTGGGGGGACGGTGCACGGCGCCTGGTTCTGAGAGGGCCAAAAGAAGCTGGAGGCTGGAGCCATGGCTCTCCTCTGCTGCTTAAGGGATGCTGACAGGAGCTGGAAACAGGGAGGCAGGCCCTGCTCCCCCTCCCACCTTCCAGTCTCCCTCTAGCGCCTTCCAATGGCAGAGCCTAACCCGGATCCGACCGTCAGGGGACTGGGGGAAGAGCCGCCTGCAGAGTCCCAGCCCCAGCATCACAGAGTAGAGTAGAAAGGTAGGGGTACGGAGGTGGGGGGGGGGGTGGCTTGGAGCTGAGAGATGACAGACCAATGCCCAGCCCAGGTGCTGACCCCTTACCTGGTCCTCTGGCAGGCACAGCAGATCCAGTCCTCTTCTTTCTTCTGGTAGAAGCAGCCACTTTTGCAGATGCTGTATTTCCGATCCACAATCTCACGTTTGGAGTTGAGGAAGGTGAATGGCGGGCAGCAACGTATGCTGAACTGCTCAGAAAACTTCTGGTTCTTGGAGAGTCTGGGACCCTCCTTACTCGTTTTCTGACTCATCTCACTGGAAATCATCCATGCGGGGGGGAAGGGGGGAGGTGGGGAGACAGAAACAGCAGGTCAAGTGAGAGAGTGTTCTACTCAGGGAACGCACCCCCTGCTACTCCCAGAGCTGTCTTATGCAACAAAAACCTGAAATAGCAAGTTCCTACCCAAGTATGGAGAACAACTAAATTAAGGGTTGATTAATTTTTGTGTATTTTTTGTTTTCTGGAAATGGACTCTTTTTCCCATATGTTTAATGATCCATTTAAGATAGAAAAAGATATTACAAAGCCAAACATTACTGAGCACCTAGTGTATGGTGGTTGCTTTATATACGTCACCTCATTGTTATAACATATGGCATTGTCAACAAACTAAAGATGAGAGAAGCTAAGAAACATGACCAAGTTCATAAAGCCTGTGAGAGGCAGACAGAGGATTTGAACCCATGCCTCTCTGACTCCAAAATCCTGTGCCCTTTGACCAGGCCCAGCACTATCTGTGCTCCCTGTGCTCAGCGCTTCTCTCCCAGCAGCAGGGGGCCAGGCGCTGGGCCCAGACTGGACTTTGGGGGACTGAGATGGGCCCAGAGAAGGGATAGTCTGCATAGATGTGCATGGGTCCTGGGCTGAAAAAGACTGGAAGTTGGGGAAAGAGCTCAATGAGGAAGGAAAGGTAGAGAAAGGCATTTGGAGACCTCGCACAGTATGCATATGCAGCAAGGACTTCCCCAGCAAGCAAGAAAGCTCACAGTGGGGAACTAGAATGTAAACTCAGAGAGGGTCCTGAAGGGAGAATGACAGACAGGTGCTTCCCTCTGTTCCTCCACCACCTGGCCTTAGCAGGTTTTAAAATCTACACTCACTGTTGAAAATAAAATATTTTGGATGAATGGAAATAATAAAAATTCTGCCCAGCTGGTGTGGCTCAGTGGTTGAATGTCAACCTGTGAACCAGGAGGTCACGGTTCAATTCCCAGTCAGAGCACATATAGTTACAGCCCCCTTTATAGTTTATATATTTTCATCTTCTCTCGTTTTTCTTGATTAATCTTGCCAGAAGTCATCTCCTTTATATTCTTTTCAGAAGCAAACTCCTGGTTTTCTAGCTTATCTTTGCTCATTTTTTTTTCTAGTTCATGAACTTCTGTATGCATTTATTATTTCTTTTCAGTTTTCTTTTCTTTTATGCTTTTGTTCTATTTCTCTATTCTTGAATCAAATGCTTCTCACATAGGCATTTATGACTGTAACTTTTCCATTAAATACAACTTTAATTGCATACCACAAGTATTAACATAAATCATTTTTCACTTCATTTTAAATATGGATGAGTTCTTTGATTCATCAATTCTCTTTAAAAATCTGTTATAAAATTTCCAAGTGTATGGAATTAATTTTGTTATATTGACTTCTAATTCTAATGCATTTTAGTCAGAGAGGAGTGTATATGATCATGACTCTTTGATATTTGTTGAGATTTTCTTCATAATGTCCTAGTATATATTCAGTATTGTTCCACGTTCCACATGTGCTTGAAAAAAAATGTGCATTTTTGGAAACAATTTGGGGTTATCTAGCGAAGATAAAAGTATGCACAAACTACAGTGTAGCCATCTATTCTTGGGCACATAAGCCACCTTGGATGGTGGCTCAACCGTGAAGATGAACCCTCAGGGTGGAGCACAAAGCCTGGAGGAGCCCGAATTCGTGGTGACAGTGGAGCTGCTGTTCCCACCTGGACTCTAAACCTGGACTCTTGAACACTGTACACTTTTACATGAGGCAATTCCTTCTCAAAGTGGACAAGAGTATAGGGAATCTGAAAGTCCTCATGGCAAGGAGGAAGGGGTGGCTGGTCTAGGTCATGTCCTCTTCTGCTAGACTCTGCCACAGGGTACCTGTGTGGTCTCACCTGGCCCCTGGCATGAATGACACATTACCACTTACCACTTGACCCCACCAAAACCACTGGTCCCTACTCAGCAGCCTCCTATTGTGATCCAGCTGTCCTCTCAGCCCCTACATCTCCACTCCAGGTAACTTCCGGGTCCCACGCATGCCATGCACTACATCTGGGGAATCAAGAGCCCTTTCTTGGGGCCATTGGCCTAGACAGCTCCTCCCAGCCCCCCAAAAAGCTGTGTACTCCCTCAGGGAATGAGGGCAGGCATCCTCCAAGGGCCTGCAATCTGTCCCACTATTCCTGTTGAAGTGTGTCAGTAGGACCCACCACACACACTTCCAAATCTGTCTGGACATTTCTATACCATACCATACCCCCGCCCTGATCTTGAGGTTTCATCTGAAGAAAAGCGAGGACATGGCTGTCTGCCTCCTTCAGTTTCTCTCTCCCCCATGAATGTGCTCCACAGTACACAGAATTCTTCCACAAACTCACCAGGTGGAAAAGGCTTGAGCGAAAAAGGCCATGCTCCTTCCCAGGCCTTTCCTTCCCTTTCCCCAACTCCTCCCTATACATGGCTATCACTTCTCACTGAAACCACACGGCCACCCTCTCTGCCTTCAAGTGGTTGGGAATAATTGTAAGGAAAAGATGGAAGTAACCAGAAATTGGCATTTTCATAGAACAAGATGAAATGTCTAGCATTAAAAGCACTATTACTTCAAAACATGAAGAATTAACTTCAAGTGCTTAAAATATTTATAAATTTTTAATGAATTTCTATTAGATCTTGCCTCCATTTCACAATGTAATATTTATTCTCTGAAAATCAAAGCCCTTGAGAGCAATAAAAGCAGTTAACCTTTCATTTTCTGAGAGGAGACAGAAATATAGTTACAGTAATAATGCATGAATATGGGTGAAAATAGTAAATGGAATTTTACTGACTGGTAAGCATAGGGAGGCAGCTGGGATACGTGATTTAAAAAAAAAACAACAGACTTAATTTTGCATATTACACAGAATCAGGGGATGGTCTTTCAAGAACAGAAAGAGTGAAGCATTCGTAACTCTATATATTTCTTAAAACCAGACTAGCTTATTAAAGGCGAGAATATGGGCAAGGGAATCCTAGAATTTTTATAAAAACACAATGTAAGCAGTAAGGCTTTGACTTTATTTAATTATTAATATTCTTATACTTGATTAATTATGGAAATATTAGGTAGCTATTTGAAGAACAATTGAATATTAGGCAGCCATTTTTAAAGATGCTTATGAAGAGATTATGCTGACATAAGAAAATATTTCTGTAATATCAAGTGAAGGCAGCAGGAAGCTAGACTATTCCTTTTTTAAAATATTTTTTTATCGATTTCAGAGAGGAAGTGAGATGGAGAGAGAGTTGGAAACATCAATGATGAGAGAGAATCATTGATTGGCTGCCTCCTGCACACCACCTACTGGGGATTGAGCTTGCAACCCAGGCATGTGCCGTTGACCAGAATCAAACCTGGGACCCTTCAGTCCGCAGGCCAATGCTCTATCCACTGAGCTAATCCAGCTAGGGCTAGACTATTCCTTATATGTCACCAACTCCAGGGTCCAGCTGCAGCCAGTTGAGAGTCAGAGGCTGACCACATCAAGAGGGCTCCCAGCTTCCTCAGACACCTCCAGAGGTAGCCCTCTCATCAGGGTCTAGGACAGAAGCCAGGGTGGCCTTGGCAGGAGAGAGACACACACTGAGACCCTGCCTTGAATAGATGAGACACTGATGCTCTGGAGACTTCGAGCAATCTTAGGCCTAATTTTCAGGCTGGCAAAGACTCTCTGAATTGTTGGTGGGAGCTATTAAGACAGTTGTGACCACAGTGGACCCACTGACAGTGGAGGCCAGGTGACATATGCAAAAAATATACACAGAAAAAGACGGAAGGTAAATGCAATAGTAACCCTCAGCCATTCATTCAAATACTATTGAGTGCCTACTAAATGCCAATTGTGAATAAGACAAAGTAGGTGCCTGTACTCACGGAGCTTGGGGTACAGTGAAGGGGACTCTAACAGATCATATTGTGAACAAGGTAGTCAATGTCTAACTGAAGTGCGATTAAACTCCTGGGTGCTAGGAGTGAGTGTAGCAGTGAAATAAATTCAGACTGAGGGGCTCGGGGAGGATTCCTGAAGAAGAAACATTTAACTTGAGACCTAAAGGATACGTGGGAACCACCCAGTGTAGGGGAGGAGAGAGCTGCAGACAGAAGGCCCTGAGACTTGAGGTGCTGAGGAAACCACAGAAGGGGGTGTGGCTGAATATCATGTGGGCCAGACAGCCCAGAGCCTCGATGGTGAGCTAATGAATAGGAAGAATGGGAAGGCACGGAAAGGTCTTGACCAGAGGAGGTCAATCTTCCTATTCATGTTCCGGAAAGATCACTCGGGCTTCTGGCAATGGAGATCAGGAGGCAGAAGGGGAAGTGAGAAAACCAGTGAGGGAGGATAGGAAATTCACCTAGGGCAGTGGCAGTGAAGGTGGATCTTGGAAGTAAGACTTAAGGATGGATTGGATGTAGAGTCCATTGGAAAGGGCAGGGCAAGGAAGATAGCCAGGCTTTCGGCCTGAGCAAATGCCTAATAGAGCAGTTTACTGAGATGGAGGAGATAGGGGAGGGGAGTAAGGGTATAGTGGGACATTCATTTATTCAACAAATATTAATTGAGCATCCACTTTGTGTCGAATATATTAAAGCTGAGATGCTTATGAGGATCTAGTTCTGATGACTGGTCTGTAGTAGGAACATTGGCCTAGGCCTCAAAATTGCTAAGGACCAGAGTATAACATGAGCAAGGAGCTAGGCAGGAAGACCAACAATGGACAGGGCTTGCAGATGGATTAATGGCAGGCAGGAAAGAAGAACAAACAGATTTCTCCAAGGAGGTATTTTATAATGGAAATAGATGAACTACTCAAAAGAGAGACAAAAATGAGAATAGATCAAAGACCCCAATTAGAATAATAACAGCAAATACATGTCAGGAGATACAAGCCAGACACATTTCAAAGACTTCACATATTCAATTCATTTAATCCTCACAACCTCACAATAGCCC